CTTCCTCCTGGGAGGTGTTGTTTCAGGCTGGAAAAGGGTTGTATCCTAATCCATTTTCTTTGGATTGTGATTTGAATTGCCCAGAGAAATCTGTGGGGTTGTTTTTAATTTCTCTTGCAGGGTCTGGAACGTTGGCTGGGACTAGAGGTCTCCTGTCTCTTCTTTTTGATGGGGAGGACCCGGATCAGGTAGGAGGGGCCAAGGATTTTTTTGGGGGGGTTTCCTCTCCTTCAGTTTCCGTCTGGGGAAGCAAAGGACACAATTTCCTTATGGGAAATCTGGGCCTTGAACTTGAAGGCACAGCCTTCTCCCTCCTGCTTTCCTGCCTGAGGAAGGGGGATTCGAAGGCAGCCGGGCTCTGTCCTGGAGGAAGAGTGAGATCCCAAGGACTTGTGGCAATTGTTATCAGGACGTTCCCCCCCAGGAAGGTACGTCCCGATCACCATGAAAAGGGAAGCCTTGCCATCCAATCTTAACATTGGTTCAGATTCTGTAGTAGGTTCTTTAAATGCGAAGTAGAAACATTTTCTTTTCTTCCAGAGTCCAGTGACCTTTGAGGAGGTGGCTGTCAACTTCACCCAGGAGGAGTGGGTGCTGCTGGATCCGGACCAGAGATCCCTCCACAGGGAAGTCATGGAGGAGAACCATCAGATTGTGGCTTCTCTCGGTAAGTCTTATTGTTTCCCTCTTTCGCACGGAGGGCAGTGACAGCAATATCCACATTAGAGCAGTGGCCCCTCTCACACATGGGGGGGGCGTCTTTTACGCAGGGGTGGGGAACCTCTAAGGCCCCCCAACATTACAGAATTCCAGGCCCCCCATCAACCCTGGCCAGCCTCACCAGTGGTGAAGCACAGTGGGAAATGGAGCTCATGTCCATCAAGGGCAAAGGTCCCCCCTGTGTTAGGGAGAAGGTTTGCCTTTATGTACAAGCTGAATTAAGGGATTTCTCTGATAAAAATGGAAATTCTGGCTTCTTGTGAGGAACAGAAGAACAGGGTTGTTTTTTTTCCTCCAGATGTCGAGGAAAACATTCTAGCAGCCACAGGACCACTTTGAATTTCCTGTTAGCATCGCGTCACTTCGCAACAATGAACAAGGGGAGCAGTGCTTAACAGGTTTGTGTTTATTTACCTACTTAAACTGTGTACTGTACTCTGCCTTATATCGCAGGCTCAGCGTATATTGCAAAGCTGCATGAAACAATATTGAAAAATAAGATAGTTATGTTAAAATCACACACAACAAAGGTGAAACATTAAAAGATTGCACTAGACCCTAAACACGCCATGATCTGAAAGGCTCTAATAACTAAGCACATCTCGGCGGGACACTAAAATGATTCCAGTGTGGTCACCAGTTGTGACTTCAAGGGGAGAGAATTCCACATTCAGAGTCGTACAGTAGAAAAAGCCTTCTCCCGTTGTCCTAACACATAATGGTGAGATACAGAGGAGGGTTTCCCCGGCAGATCTGGGTGATCAGAAAGGTAGAGAGAGAGGGGGGGGCATTCCTTCAAATATACAGGTCCAGAGCCATTAAGGGCTTTAAAAGTCATTGTCTTACCCTAATTGTACTGGCAGATTCTTCAGAAGTGGTGTCATGTGGGCCCTGAAGGAGTTACCTGTAAGCAGACCAGCCACTGCATACTGGACTTGCTACAGCATCTGTTTCATCTTCAAGGGGAGAACCATGTAAAGTGCAGTGTAGTACTCTTAACTGGTAAGCTACCAGGGCATGGACTCCTGTAGCCAGGTTTTCTCTGTCATAGATTGCAGAGAAGTCAAAGCTGATTCCAAGCCCCCTGAATCACTGAACACACCTGAGCCTCCAGAAACAAAGATGAATCTAGGGATACCCCCCCAACTATGCACCAGGCTCTTTCAGGGGGAGTACAAATCCATCTAGAATAAATCTATCCAATACCTGGACCTGGGAACCACAGAGCCTCCATCTTGTTGGATTCTGGGTTCAGTTTCTTGGCCCACATCCAGCCCATTACAATCTCCAGATGTTGGCCCAGCACCTGCACAGCCTCAGCTGACCCAGATGAGAAGTAGAGGTGTCATCAGCATATTGATGGCACCCAACCTTTAAACTCCTGAGGACTTCTCCCAGCCTGGGCAATAGTATTTTATCATGCAGTACCCCACAGCTTAATCACTAGGGCTTGAAAAATGCACTCATCCACTTGTCTGTGACAAGTGAAAAATGCTGCTTGACAAGTCATAGCTCCCTCCCTCCCTCCCTGCTTCCTTCCCCTCTGCTGTATCTTTCTCTCTAATCCTGCAGTCCTCCCCTCCCCCATCCTATTGCAAAAGGAAAACTGCCCCCTTCTCGTGAGAAGAGAGTTCAAGCGGCACATAGAGCTATAGCTCTGCAGGAGAATGTAGAATAGCCCCATGCTGGAGAATATGGAAATTCTCTGCTCCCAATTTCAACTGGGCACATCCTGGGGTGGGAGGGAACCATGGCTCCTTAAAAGGCTGGGCGCTTTTGCTTTCAGTTTTATTTTTGCTGGAGACATTCAAAAGAAAGGCATTCAAAATACAACCTTCATGGCCCATCATGCAGGTAATAAAGTAACCCAAGTCTGATGGTATAAATCAGTGATTCCCAATCCCAATAAATTGCAAGGCTACAGTCTGGTCATGCTGACTGGTGGTGAAATTTTTGACAGACTGGTGAGACATTCTAAATTTTTTCAAGCCTTGTTAATCACCTTGGGGCTGAGCAGAAGTACTCCGGGGTCACTCATAAAAACTGGTTCCGAAGAAAGGAATGGATCTCCTGTAATCCAGGGCATCCCTGGTTATCCATAAGGGCACCTAAGTTGATTTCAGTATTGAATCTTGGCCTCAGATCTTCTCTATTCACTTATCAAGAAGCAAACTGCTTCAAAGAACATCTTTTTCTTTTGTTGCAACATTCTCTAAAAGCTTCCATCATATAACAAATTTTCATTCTCGTACGTTTAACGCAGGTTTGCACATCCATTTTGTGAAGTCTCTTCGTTAATTAACACAATAGGTAAAACAATGTGAATGTCATTTTAAAATACACTCTATTTTTTTCCTTTTGTCCGTTTGCATTACATCAGTGATCTCTTTACTTTTTCACAAAAACTGGCATGAAACTGAATGAGCTAAAAGCAAAAAAATCTAAGTTTGCTGCTTATACATTGTCCCGTAGCACTTAAGGCACTCTCTGGGTGGCCTACAAATTAACTGTGCAGGCTACACATTGTCTCCCCCCCACCCCCAGTAAGCTGAGTACTCATTTTACTGACCTTGAAAGACTAGAAGGCTGAGTGAACCTTGAGCTGGTTACCTGGGATTGAACCCTGGGGTCACGAGCAGAGTCTTGGCTGCAGTACTGCAGTTTTAACTACTGCACCACCAGCTACTTCTGCCTTCTTATCATTTGCTTTTGTATCAAAACAAGTGGTTGCACTGTAAAGTGTAAACTATCTCCCCATTAGTTCTTCAGTCATAATTAAATCACTTTTACTGCGCCTCTTTGAGGCCGTTTCAGTATTGAATCCTGGCCTGAAACGGGACCGTATTGACCACCGCTGTCCTGCAGGAATGCCTGAAGCTGCCCAGACAGCACACCTTCAAGCACCTGGCCTTAAAAGGAGATACAGTGGTGCCTCGCTAGACAATGATAATCCCTTCCACTGAAATTGCTGTTTAGCGAAATCATCATCTAGTGAAAAGCATTTCCCCATTGGAATGCATTGAAACCTGTTTAATGCGTCCCAATGGGGAAGAATCGTCTTTGTCTAGCGAAGATCGGCCATAGGAAAGCAGCTTTCCAAACCGCCGATCAGCTGTTTAAATAGCTGTCTTGCAAAGCTTAGGTCCCGAAAACACCCGTTTTGCCAGCACATAGAGAGCTGTCAAAATCATTGTCTAGCGAAAATCTGTTTGCGAAGCTGGGACCAAACATTGTCCAGCGAAATTCCCCCATAGGATTCACTGTTTTGTGAATCGCTATAGTGATCGCAAAAAGTCAGTGTTTAGCGAAAAAACTGTCATGCGGGGTAACTGTCTAGCGAGGCACCACTAGACAGTACCCCGCATGACAGAGGTGGTCGTTGCCCCAGACCTCTGTGTCCACAGAGGTTCCCGTGGTTCCCAATCTGGGGTCCCCAGAGGTTCTTGGACTACAACTCCCAGAAGCCTTCACTACTCGCTCTGTGCTGCCCAGGATTTTTCAGAATTGCAATCCAAGAACATATGGGGAGCCAAGGTTAGGAACCACTGCCCTACAGGAACAAGGCATTGACCGCCTTTTTGACCCACCCAGGCAACCCACCCTTGCTATGCTGGCCAGGATTTCTCAGAGCTGCAATCCAAGGACATCTTGGGAGCAGAGGTTAGGACCCACTGGCCTACAGGAACAAGGCATTGACCGCCTTCTTGACCCACCCAGGCAACCCACCCTTGCTAGATCTTATCAACCACAAGGTATGCATGTATTGGGTTGGACCGAATCAAATGTTCTTGCCCACATCATCCGTTCCGATAGGAGCAGGGGGTGGTAGGGGTGGGGTCAACAACATAGCCAGTGGGCAGGGGCCCGTTTTTCCTCCACTGAGCCATTTATATGCCGCCCTCCTGAGATCTTCTTGAAGGGAGAAGTTGATTCCCCCAAACTGATATTTTTCCTAGGGGGGGGGAATGGTGTGCTCACGAGGAGGGATCTATTTCGCTTGAGAGGCTATTAAGGGTAAAAAGTTATATTTTAATCCATTCAGAGAAGATCAAAATCCAGAGAGAGAAGCAGTCCTCCACTGAGCCATTTATATGCCGCCCTCCTGAGATCTTCTTGAAGGGAGAAGTTGATTCCCCCAAACTGATATTTTTCCTAGGGGGGGGGAATGGTGTGCTCACGAGGAGGGATCTATTTCGCTTGAGAGGCTATTAAGGGTAAAAAGTTATATTTTAATCCATTCAGAGAAGATCAAAATCCAGAGAGAGAAGCAGCCCATCCCAAATGAAAGAATAAAAGAAAACAGAGGCCACAAGCGAAATCAAACTGAGAGAGTTCAAAATTCCGTTTCCAGTTCTAGCTACCACGTGCCACGGTCACAAAGAAGAACCAGAGGGACATGTTCTCCAGCGACTTAGCTCTTTCTGACTGAAGGGCCTTTGGTTTGCCTCGAACAGAGATTTAGCTGCAGGGCCAGGTGACCTGGTCTCCACGGGAGACAAGATTTTTTTTCCCCCCAGAGAGATGTTCTGCTCCTGAGGAGACTCTCCTGAGTAGCTGCACCCTTTCCTTGGGTGAGCTTTGCCGTCCACATGTTGCTCATGAAGGCCGTTGGAAACTTAAGAGCTAGAGATGGGGGTATTCGTATACGAATACGAATATTCCGCCCACAGGGACTTTGCCGTCCATATGTTGCTCATGAAGGCTGTTGGAAACTTAAGAGCTAGAGATGAGGGTATTCGTATATGAATACGAATATTCCCCCCACAGGTGCAGATAACGAGGGTCTGCCCCCCCCCACAGGGCCAGACCGCTCACTCGCGACAGATTAGCCATTCCTGGCAGAAGGAGGGATGATGAGCCTCTCTGCCAGGTTGCAGAGTGGCTAATCCATCGCGAGAAATAGCAATGGAATCGTGATTGCTCGGTGAGTGTCCCCGGGGGGGGGGCAGACCCTCGTCATCTCCACCTGTGGGGGGGATATTCGTATACGAGGACCCCCGTCTCTATTTAGAGCATCAGTCGATTGGGGTTCCGGGGTCTACAGGACTCGGCATCTCTTCCCCAACATCAGGCCTCTGTGGGTTGGGGTTTCGTCCCCACTGGAAGTTCCCCCTGAGGGAGCCATGGTGGAAGTTCTAGACTGAGGTACCGTATTTCCCCCAAAATAAGACAGGGTTGTAGCGTTCTCTATTTAATTGATCTATGGTCTATGTTATGTAATATAATGGTTTGTGAATATTAATGTTGCAGAGCGGCGGAGCCGAGACAGATGTTGTAAGAGGCGGAGCCTGAGTCAATATTTCAGTCAGAGTGTGTCGAGATTAGGTGAATCAGTCAGAGTGTGAGATTCAGTGAGTTCAAGTCAGTGTGTGGAGATTAAGATGGAGTCATCTATCTTAAGATAGAGTCATGCTCTGGGGCTTGAAGGTCAACCAAAGGGGCACGAGGGTGGACGCCACAAGGGTCTTATATTAATTTTTGCTCCAAAAAAAAGCGCATTCGGGCTTATTTTCGGGGGATGTTTTATTTGTTTTTCGTGTAGAACCATCTACGTTTATTCAAATATAGCCCAGTCATCTTCTTCTGGTTGCTGCACAGGGGTGGAGGGCGGGGTTTCACTTAACTGGGGCTTATTTTTTTGGGGTAGGACTTATATTACGAGCATCCTGAAAAATCATACTAGGGCTTATTTTCAGGTTAGGGCTTATTTTCGGGGAAACAGGATATTTTAGGAGTTATGGGCTAAACCACAGTTAACTGTGTGAGGTGAGACAGAAGGATGTAGGTAGCTCTGACTCCATGATTTCAATACATTTAAGGACAGGTTGCCTTGGAACCTCACCCACACAAATGAATGCCGTGTGGCCAGTTTGAGACCTTAGCTTTCCTTTTTACGAGTTATGGGCTAAAGCTGAGGTGAGGTGAGACAGAAGGATGCAGGTAGCTCTGACTGCATGATTTCAATATATTTAAGGACAGGTTGCCTGGCAACCTCACCCACACAAATGAATGCCATGTGGCCAGTTTGAGACCTTAGCTTTCCTTAGAAGACAGTAAGAGGAAGTCAGTTTCATGTTCCTTGATTTGTCATGGCTGTGTTCTAATAAATCCTAAGTTTTCAATGAATTCAGAAATAGGGGAAGTGGGAAATGTTCTCAAGAATGTGCAGGGCAGTAATCATATATGGCCACAGTGCCCATTTTTGCCCAGGTTTTTGCCCATTTCTGCAGGGCCCTGCTACTTCTCTCCTGACATTGTTCACCTTTCAAGACCTAGTTGGATCTTTTAGACCAGTGGTTCCTAGTAATCATAAGCCAGAACAGATAGTGGTTTAGGCTTCTGGGAGTTTTAGTCCAAGACCGTCTGGGAAACCAAGGCTGGGAATCACCGATTTAGATCTTTTTTTCCCCTTCCAGAGACTTCATTCTCTCCCATTTCAAATTCAATCTATTCTGTGTTTGTTGTTTTTCCAGCAGATCAGGAAAATTATACCAGAAGAGAGCTCTACAATTGCACCATGTCTGGGAAATATTTTGCTGAAGGTGTGGCCCTTACACTTCAGGAGAATGTCCACGCCGCAAACATAGATTTCAGAAACAAAGGATCCGGAGAAGGTTTTGATAGCAAACCACAATTCGTGAGCCACCACAGCATGGAAAGAGATGACAACAGATATCAGTATCAGGAACATGGGGAATGTTTAGCCAGTAATTCCTTCCTTCGGGTGGACCAGTGTGTGCATACAAAAGGGGAATTGTGCAAATGTCAGGAATGTAAAAAAGGATTGTTTTGCCTCTCAGCCCTCGGTGATTCTCATATAATCCAGATAGGAGGGAAACCGTACAAATGCCAGGATTGTGGAAAAAGTTTTATGTATCCTTCAGCTTTTCTCATGCACCAGCGAGTCCACACGGGAGAGAAGCCATATCAGTGTCAGGATTGTGGGAAATCTTTTGCTAGGAATTCACGCCTTCTGAAACACAAGAGAGTCCATACGGGAGAGAAACCCTACGAATGCCAGGAGTGTGGCAAATGTTTTGCTCAGAAATCAAACCTTGTATATCATCAGCGAGTCCACACAGGAGAGAAACCATACAGATGCCAGGAGTGTGGGAAATGTTTTTCTCGGAATTCACACCTTCTGAATCACCAGGGAGTCCACACTGGAGAAAAACCCTACAAATGCCAAGACTGTGGGAAATGTTTTGCTCAGAATTCATATTTTCTCGAGCACCAGAGAATCCATACTGGAGAGAAGCCATATGTATGCCAGGAGTGTGGCAAACGTTTTGCTCACAGTTCTAACATTCTCAGACACCAGAGAGTCCACACTGGAGAGAGACCGTACAAATGCAAAGAGTGTGGGAAATGTTTTTCTGAAAATTCAGATCTTCTGAAACACCAGAGAGTCCACACTGGAGAGAAACCATACAAATGCAAAGAGTGTGGGAAATTTTTCTCCCGGAATTCAGACCTTCTGAAACACCAGAGAGTCCACACAGGAGAGAAACCATACAAATGCCCCGAGTGTGGGAAACGTTTTGCTCAGAATTCACACTTTGTCAATCACCAGAGAATTCACACTGGAGAGAAACCATACAAATGCCCAGAGTGCGGTAAATGTTTTTCTCTGAATTCATACCTTATGAGACACCGTGGAATCCATACTGGAAATAAACCCTACAAATGTCAGGAATGTGGGAAATGTTTTGCTCAGAATTCAGATCTTCTTAGTCACCAGATAATCCACGCAAGAGATTGGAATTCATGTATTGTGACTTATGACAAAGTGTAGACAGCAGAATCGTGCACCGTGTGATCGCAGATGTTAAGGCCTGTTCAAGGTTAATAGTGTCAAGATAAATAATGTTAAATGTCAAAGCCTATTCAAGGTTATTTGAACTTCCTCACTTAATGGAAAGCTAGTGGGTGTAGCTCCTTTGGAAAGCCATATTGTTCTACAGTCCAGCGATGGCCCAGAGCGCCTCGTTAAGCGATTTCATCGCTCAGCGAGGCGCTCGTTAAGCGAGGCACCACTGTATTTGAACTTCCTCACTTAATGGGAAGCTGGTGGGTGTAGCTCCTTTGGAAAGCCATATTGTTCTACAGTTTACATTTCTCCCATTTCCCTAGAATCAGAGCTGTTAATGGATGGAGTCTTAGAGAAATCAAGATTCTTGTGACTTTTTCTTATTCTGCTCTTACTCCATGTTGGAATCAAGATTCCTCACCTACTTTTTAAAGAATGGATATAATGGCAGATGATGCCAAAGAGCTGATTGTTTTAAGGCGTGTCTCCTGACTTATCCTGGTTATTATTGATTCAAATGCTATTTCTGTTTTTGTTTGTTATAATCAGGAAATATACTGCAATACAGAAGAAATGAACTGAAGAAAAATATGATAGAATTTTTAAAATTCCCAGAAAATCTTGAAAGGAAGCTTTAAAAGGTATCAGTCGTAGGGAGTTATTAGAATAAAGGATTGGGTAAGGAAGATGTATAATAGAGATTGAGTAAGAGCAATATTGGCACATGACAGAATTTAATAGTTGACTATCCTTCACTAAAGAAAATTGGACTAAGGAATGGAAAATAAAGGGAGGAGAGGGTAGATTAATGATGAAATATGACAAAACTGGTGAGAAGATAGAAATTAATAAAAAGAAAATGGGATAATAATATATAGTATGTTAATATAGGGAAAACATAAAACAACTGTTTTCAAATAAGTCTGTCGAGACCTGGGAAAATAAAGATTGGAAGACAGTGTAGAGTAAAAGAATAATGAGAAATACGCCTGTAAGGGTTAAAGTAAATTGTTATAAAGTAACATGGAGGTGGTACCTAATAGCACTGAAAGAGAATTTGTTAAACGGACAGGTAATACTGTATCTTCATGTTGAGATGTAAAAAAGAAAAGGGGATATGCAGTACAGTATTTACAAATGTGGTGGGGCTTGTGAAAGGAGGAAAAAGGACTGGTCAAATATTTTTAAAGAGATTTAGGTTATTTATATTGATATATGAATGTGTCCAATTATAGCTTTGCTGTATATGGTTAATAATAATCTACAGTACTAAAAGGGGAAAAGGAATTCATTAATTATTATGGTAACAGTGGCAAGATTGATACTTGCAAGGGTTTGGAACAGTATTAATCAAAGTAATATGGCGGAATGATATAAAGATAGGTGGAATGTTGCCGTGAATGATGAAGGTCAAATAAAGATGATCAAGTACAAATGATTTTAAAGATGTATGGCCCTTTCTTTTTGGACATGTGTTTGAGAAAGGGAAAGGTTAGGGACAATAATTATGTTTCTCAAGACAAACGGGGGAGGTATAAAATACTAAGTAAAACAAATAAGTAAATTAGCCCCAAGAGTGATAAGAAGCAGGGGCCAGAAAATGGATGGTATATGGTTTCCTTTCTTTTTAGTTGATATGTTAATTGAATTTTCTTGTTGATGCCTTTTAAGTTGTTCTATTATTATGCATTTCAACATCAACAAAACTAAGATCATGGCCACTGGTCCCATCACCTCCTGGCAAATAGAAGTGGAAAATATGGAGGCAGTGACAGATTTTATTTTCTTGGGTTCCATGATCACTGCAGATGGTGACAGCAGCCACGAAATCAAAAGACGCCTGCTTCTTGGGAGGAAAGCGATGACAAACCTCGACAGCATCTTAGAAAGCAGAGACATCACCTTGCCGACAAAGGTCTGCATAGTCAAAGCTATGGTTTTTCTAGTAGCAATGTATGGAAGTGAGAGCTGGACCATAAAGAAAGCTGACCGCCGAAGAATTTATGCTTTTGAATTGTGGTGCTGGAGGAGATTCTTGAGAGTCCCCTGGATTGCAAGGAGATCAAACCTATCAGTTCTAAAGGAAATCAACCCTGAGTGCTCACTGGAAGGAGAGATCCTGAAGCTGAGGCTCCAATACTTTGGCCATCTCATGAGAAGAGAAGACTCTCTGGAAAAGACCCTGATGTTGGGAAAGTGTGAAGGCAAGAGGAGAAGGGGACGACAGAGGACGAGATGGCTGGACAGTGTCACCGAAGCTACCAACATGAATTTGACCCAGCTCCGGGAGGCAGTGGAAGACAGGAGGGCCCGGCGTGCTCTGGTCTATGGGATCACGAAGAGTCAGACACGACTTACCGACTAAACAACAACAAATTATTGTGTATTATTGTATTATTTTAAAAAATGCA